CACTTTCCCCGTTCTATGCTGGGTTACTGTCTGGGAGTCTTTTGGGCCACTCTGGCCAACAACTCAAAGGAAGGGATCTCCTGTCTGGCATTGCTTCTTGTTATGTACCCTTTAGCTATACATATGGACTCTTAAAAATTATATTGACTCCTTTAATCTTTGGTTATACTTTCTTTTTGGGTGTTTTAAGACCATACAGTTGGCCCAGATAAACCAATTTATTTTCATTCTTAAGGCCGTTTGAGGATCACTTCCTCAGGAGTCAAATGGGCTTGGGAGGAGCCCCTGGCTCCTTTCTTTTACCAGTTCCATCTATGTGAAGATAAGTCAAAGGTCCTGCTCGACCATGGCTGGCTTCGCTTGAGTCACCTGTCCTCTCATCCAAGGAGGCCATGGAGACCCCATCAAATGGACTTGAACCAGTGTCCAGTCTACAAAAAGGAGGATCAACACAGAGGAAATATTATTTTTATTTTATGTACATGAGTGTAACGCCTGCACGTAGGTGTGTCATGCAATGCCTGTGGAAGCCAGAAAAGGGGATCAGATAACATGCCCTGGAACTGGAGTTATGATGGTTATTAGTCATCAAGTAGGTGCTGGGAAATCGAACCCCGGTCCTTTGCAAGAGCAGCCAGTGCTCTAAACTCTGAGCCATCTCTCCAGCCCCCTGTAAAGAGTTTTTATAATGCCATCTTGTGAAGGCCAGATATGAATATGAAAAGAACATTCTAATTAAACATCGTTATTACTTTAATCTTAGCTGCTACCCGAGGGCTGTGTTTGTAGTAATGGTGCGATTCTGATTTGTGAAGTAAAGAGTTATAACCAGCATCTTGGGTCATTCTCATGGACTCTGCTGAAAAACCTGGAGATGGGACTTAGTAAAGGAAATGGGTTTATTTACAGTTCTATTAGTAGTCTTACAATTTATAAGAAAGATTAAACAAAAGCCAAGAGATAATGCCTTTGTAAACATAGCTGTGGGACAAGTTACCGGACTGCAGAGGTGTTTGTTGGAGACAGTTTCTCCTGTAGCACTGATTCCATCTGTCCTCACTCAGCATAGCGTTCCTGCAGAGATTCTAATTCTTTGAGGGGCTTCTGTTGACAGTACTTTACTGCTTTGATTTTTTTTTTCCTAATAAAAGGCCACGCCATTAAAAACAAAAGATCCTCCCCTATTTATTTTTGTTTTCCCCTTTATTGTTTGGTCTTCCTCTCTCTTATTTTTCCTTTCTTCTCTGTGTTGTATACAAATGATAAGCTGGGACATCAAAGCTTGATAAGGGGGACCTCAGCCAGGGTGTGTCCTGTTCACTGAGGACACTCAGCCAGATTTGTAGTCATGGTTGAAACAACAATATTCGTAGTCACCTAGTCGCTAACATCAGAAATCTTATTCCTCACTTACATGTCTGTTCTTCCTCCAGAATCTTCAGTGTTTGCTGTCTCTGCAGCTCCACTCCAGCTTCCCTGGTCCCGGCCCTCAGGCTTCACATTTGCTAGTAGGGCACCATTGCCTGGTCTTCCTTCCTCACCTGTGTCCAGCCACTGAGCACCCTATATACTGCCAAGCGCGTAGCCTTTTACAGTGCAGGTGTGATGAGTCCCTTCCCCTTTTAGGATTCATGCTTCCTTTCAGCACCTGAAATTATACTTGAAGCTCTCTAGCTAGCACCAAGCCTTTATGATCAGCTGACTTTCTTGTATTTTAAAGTTTCCCATAGTTTATTTTTCTCAGATTATGTCTTTTATCCTGACCACCTTTTGACCTTCTGACACTGAAGCCTCAATGTCGTCATGAATGGAAATGCAATGTATGTTTTCTGGCACTCCTGTAAGTTGAAATTGTACAGGCGACACATATTTGGAACAAAGAAACGTTCCTTAGAGCCATGGCTTGATATTTTGAGTGCAGTCCTCAAAGAATTGAATGAGGCCTTCTGTAAACACCTCCTTCCTTCTCCAAGGTAGACACCAAGCAGACAGTTTTCCTGTGTGTTTCCCTTTGATGCACAGGCCTGTCTGGGCCTGAGAGGGCAAGGACAGCAGAACACACTGAAATTATGTAAGCTCAGAGATCAGCACTCTGGTTTGCTGTTTTTTCTCTATGCTGAGGGCAGTATTGACTTTGCTTTTCCTTTTCTTCTGGATTCCACATTGTTGCAAACATAGAGAGGATACCTCCCATTCATTGTACTTCCTCATGGGAGGGAAGAGAGAGAGCAGGGGACTGGTGCTGGAGAGACAATCCCAGAACAGGACCCCTTGTATAAAAATCAGCCTTGTGATGAAATGTTCATGATTGAACAAAAAAAAGGAGAACTCTGTGGCTAGTTTTTAAATGAATGATGAGAGATACGGTGGGATTTCAATCATGTCTGGACATGTACTGAAGAGTGGTCAGGGTAAAAGAGAGTGCTTAAATATAAATGGGAGAGCTTGAAGAACAGAAGCACATTTATTAATTACTGAAATTAATCTTTGTAAGGCCTCTAGGAGGAAAACATTAGCATTGCTAATGTTTAATAGATGGAGAGACAGATTCAGTATTTAATTCACCAGTCAAGGATTATATAGATACATTACTCAGATAAAATATGAGACCTAGGTTTCCATTTTATCTTGTTATCTTTGGAAGTTCTACTTACCATATGTAGTCCTGCTATTTATAGATGCTTAGATGAATATATTGTATGTAAATGAACCAATGTCTGCAACTTCTCACAAGGGTGCTAACAGAAGTTACCTAAATGGAAAGCTGTGGTCTTGTGTTTTGTATTTTAGGACCAGTGATAAGAGGAAAAACTTGGCCAAGCAAAAAGCAGAGGCTCAACGGAGGCTGTATGGTCAAAATTCAATAAAGAGGCTTTCACCAGGTTCCTCAGACTGGGAACAGCAGAGACACCAGCTGGAGAGGCGGAAAGAAGAGTTGGTATGAATATTGTGTCTTAAGCATTCATTTATTTCTATTCTTGTATTATTGGGGGTAGAGAACCCACGCCAGGCCAACGCTCTGCCACTGAGCTGCACCTCAGCCTGGTGGGAACTAATTTTAACAAAGTACCTGTGATTTGAGTGCCTGGACTCATTGGGCTTTATAAAATGTCTTCATTTTTAGAAAGAGAGACTCGTTCAAGTACGGAAGCAGGTTTCGCGAGAAGAACACGAGAATCGGCATATGGGGAATTACAGGTAATTGTGCCTCTGTCTTTACAGACACTGAAGATGTGTCTGCACAGCCATTCTACATACCAACCCTTTCTGCTTATTTTAAGTACCGTGCTTTCCAACCACAATGCTTAATGTCATTCAGGAAAGGAAAGGGAGTCAGCAAACAGGTGTTCTGGCTTGAGGGCCCCCTCTAGCCTTCTGTGCTTCTAGGAGGTCTTTTGAACTTCCGGTTCCCCTGTGTCTGCATCTGGTTATTATATAGTATTTTAAGAAGGTCAAAATTCAGGTCTAAGTATTCTTTCTGCCAGTTTGTACTGATTGCAGTTTGTCATTTTAAGCCTAAAGGCTCAGCAACCAGGCAGAATAAGAAAACATTTGAAGGAGCTATGTAGAGATAGTAGATAAGTAGACAGGGGTATGGACTGCTCTGAACTAGGAATCCTCACAGTTTCACCCTTGATAGGCTACAAAGGGGCTCCCTAATGTTCTAGAAAACACTGTACCTCCTCCCAGCCTTTGACATTGCCGCAATAGGACTTAGCAAAGGGTGGAGGTGCAGAGTTTCTTGCACTTTCTGTAAGATGTGTTTTCCTTACCCTAACACCTCTGCACTATCAAGGAAAGAGAACTCCCATTCTGCCTCTCCCCTGAGTTACTACACCGCTTGACGAGACCATGCAGACTAATGTCTACCTTCTTGGATTGCATGTTCTCAAGTTCTCTGAACATTCTCTTACAATGTTTTATCTTCTACCAATTTGTTCAAACACCATTCTCCAACCTCTTGTGCTCAACCAAACCCTGACACTACTGAACTGTGACAGTGTCTCTTCCACAAATGTGTTTATCTGGCTTTTTCTTTGTAGGCGAATTTATCCTCCTGAAGATAAAGCACTACTTGAAAAGTATGAGAATTTGCTGGCTGTTGCCTTTCAGACCTTCCTTTCGGGAAGAGCAGCTTCGTTCCAGCGGGAGTTGAATAATCCTTTGAAAAAGATGAAGGTTAGAGAATGAGTGTTTATACGGATCAAAAAGGACCAAGCAAAAGCAGCACATCTTTAAATCCATCTTAGGGGCTGAGGAAATGGCTCATTGGGTTAAGAGTGAGGGCTTGCTGTGCAAGCTTGAGGACCTGATTTCAAATCCTCTGCACCCATGTAAAAAACCTGGTGTCATTGCACATGTACCTATAGCCCCAGCATTTCAGGGGGCAGAGACAGGAAGGTCCTTCTTGCTAGCTGCCAGCTTAGAAATAGTGAGAGATACTGTATTAAGGTCTTAAGGAAGCAAATGACAAAGCAGGAATTCCTTTGACTTCCACATACACATGTGCAAACACACACACACACACACACACACACACACACACAGCCTTCCACCCTCTCTCTCGCATCTCTCTCATCTCCCCCACCTCTTCTCTCTGCTCTCCTCCTCTCTCCCCATCCCTTTCCTCTCCCCTCCTCTTCTTATTCCCTTCTCTCTGCCTCTGTCCTCTCCCTCCACACTTTTCTCCCTTCCTCTCTGGTCCTCTTCTCTCTCTACTCCCATCCGCCTCTTCTCTGTTAGCCCCGATGCAAGAACCATCAGCTATCTATTGCAGCATAACAAACCTCTGTGTTTATTTGTGTGTTACTGCTCAGTCTTCACTGGCAACAGTTGAGTGGTTCCTTGGGCTAGTCTTAACTTGGAATGAGCCATGTAGGCCAGAAACAATTGTGCTTAGCTAGGGCTAGAATGCCAAGGTTGTTTCAAGTATTCGTCTGGGGTAATCAGGTATGGAGTTAGGGCTACCCACCGTCTGGCTTGACGGTCTCTATTTCTATATGGGCTCTGGGCAGAGTAGCCAGTAGCCAGGTCTCTTAACGTTTTATCTCTGGGTGATAAAAGGGAGCATTTCAAGATGATTCTCTTTATCCCAGCATGACTTCTTTGCCTATGATAGCCTCACCTCTGTCTACCTATACCCAGACTTGCGAGGTCCCCAAAATAGAAAAGGTGGCCACTGATCTCTGCTCACGTGTGAAGAACCTGGCCCTGTCTCAGAACACTTCATCCATCTAGCTTTTTGTTTTCAAATATGTGGTTGTTTAGTTCATCTGGCTTTCTCATAATGAAACTGCTGTCTAGTGCGGTCTTCCTTCTGAACAAAAGTAGAGCTCCTTGAGACTATTTTTAGGTTTCTGATGGCTCTACCTATATAATCCATTGCAGGGCCATAACTAGAATCTTTTGGTATTTTAACAGCTAGGCTTCTTAGATGGAATAAACCTGCTATACAGTGTGATTTCTGGTATCTCCAATAAAATCTAAGGAGATTTTGAAGTATAAGTCACAAATATCTGAAGAGTTTGGGCAGTGTTAAAAGCTGAATAACCTAGAGGCAGTTGGTTATACTGCAGTATAGTTGCACTGGTTTGCTCAGTATCCAGGTGTGCTTTATAATTTTTCTTTGACTTCAGAATGACTCTAGAGGAGTGTAAGAGTTATTAGCGTATGTACATTTTTCCCAACCAGTAATGGGTATAGAATGAAAACAGTTCATAAAACTGTAAAAATATTTTTGCAATAATAAAATTTCTAAGCAGTTTTATTAAGCAGTGCCCATTAACTAAATTCTAACCCTAGATTAGATTAACCCTAAATGAAATTTCTAGGCCAGTCATCAGATTTCTATGTGAACTTTTGATACTTCTTTGTACTAATCAATATAGGAATGATTAGTAGACTGTGGTATGGAAAATTAGAGTGAGCGTCCAGAAATTTTAGTGCTCAGTGAGCTAATTTATTAAAATTCTATATTCTAAGATTTTAGTAGTACTGGGAAGGATATTTTTGGCTATGATAATTAATGCACAGTGGATTTCAGCAATGTATTATGTAATCGCTGTATTTTAGTGAAAATTTCTGCAAGAGAATTTTCCATCTTTGATATGAATAATCTGCACTACATAGTTTCTGGAATAGTCACAAATTTTACAGAGGTTAATGGACTTGGAAAAATTCTAGACTCTTTTAGTGATAACAATTTTAATTAAAATATTTTTGAAGGAGGAAGATATTTTGGATCTTCTGGAACAGTGTGAAATTGATGACGAAAAGTTGTTGGGAAAAACTACCAGAGTCCGAGGACCAAAGGTACCGTACCTCTACCTTCTTTAGAACCAAAGCCACTAGGCCATCCAGTTTTCCCCTTGCGTTTACTGTAAGAGTCATGATGCTTTTTTAAAGGACCTTCAGGACTTATGTGTCCAGTGCAGGTAAAACTGAAAGAATGGTGTTTTCTTACACGCAGCAGCTTTGTTTTGTTACTTTCCTTCCTGTTTTGTTCTTCTAGTACATCAGGGCTGGGAGGGATTTAGAGGGAATACCCTAATTCTAAATCCAGTGGTAGGTTTTTCTTATGCCTCTAGATAAATAATTAACAAAGAAATGTGTAGCATTAGAGATAAAGCAAAATGTGTTTCTAGAGACTCATTGATAGGAAGTCAAACTATTTATTTATTAAATTTTCATATGTGTATACATTGTATGCTGAGCACATTCTTCCTAATATACCTCCACCCTCCATTTTCTCGCCCTCCCACTCACATTAATTCCCATTGTCCTCCTAAACTGCTTTACTTTCACTTTCATGTCAAATATGAATACATGATGCTATGTAGCTACATAAAACTCAGGAACCGGGGCCTGGAGAGATGGCTCAGCGGTTAAGAACACTGGCTGTTTTTGCAGAAGACCCGGGTTCGAATTTCAGACCTCTACAGGCATTGCACAACACAGGTGCACCTACCTGCATGTAGCAATACCAGTATACACATAATATAAAAATAATAAATAAAATATTTTAAAAATAAAAATAAAAATATTCAGGAACCACAAATGAAAGAACAAAATGTTTATCTAAGATTATCTTAATTCATTTAATATGATTATCTCTAGTTACATCTAGTTTTCTGTAAGAAACATGAATTTGTTTTTCTTCAAGGCTGAAAAAATTCCAGTGTTTGTGTAAACCACATTTTCCTGCCTCTCTGCTGTTGGCCATTGTGAACAGTGATGAAGCTTACATAGATGAGCGTGTATTTCTGTGGCATGTTGACTTGGAGCCCTTTGGAGAGCCCCTTCTCTTGATGACACAGTGACATTGATGATGTCTTAATAGAAATAAACACAGTTATTAGGAATGAGAAAAGCCTCTGTGTAGGCAAAAGAGGGGCAGGTGTTTTCTTTGGATATGTTTTGTGGTGACGTCCGTTTTGTATTCTAACATGATAAAGTCCTCATCAGTAGGGAAGAAGTAGAACTTGAGAAATCTTAGACATGTTTTTCAGTGTGTACCTTTTAGTTTATATTTCCCTATGACTGAGCCATCTCTGCATCCACAGACATGATCTCTTAGATGCTCACATTTTAATACCTGTCTGTTAAAAAATTCATTTTGTTGCTGGATTGATTAGAGACCCCTTCCTAATGTAGTTGGAATTTGCTACCTTGTGTGAAACTTTACCTTGCACTCCCATTAGACTTAATTCTTCTCCTCCTTCCCTTCCTGTGCCATAAGAAATGCTTTTATAGATCAGTTAGATGAGTAATTGTTTGTATTATTTTAAGTACCTTGAAGGCAAGAAGTGGGTATTGACCTTGCATCTTAGCACATAACAGAGTGTGAAGCAGATCACGAGTTCTCAGAATCTATTGGTTAAATTTGTTGACTGTGTGTAAAACTCCTCATTGGCTAGTTGAGGAGCAGATAGGAAAATCCCAAAGTAGGATGTTTGTGTCGAGTCCTGAAAAGTGTAAAGTGCTGCAGGTGCACAGAGAAGAAGGGGGTAAACTGGGGATGGCAGGTGTATAGAGCAGGTGGTGGGTAGACTGTGGATAACTTGGTAAAGGCATTTCCATTGGAACTAGATCTTGCAAAATGAGCAGTGCTCATTTGGGTTAGAAGGAACATTCAAGCAAAGACCTGGAGGTGTGATGCCGCATCGATAGGAACAATGGAAGCCTCAGGAGCAAGAAGTGAAACTGGTGAAGGTCAGCCTGGCCAGGGATACATATGTGTGAAGACTTCTGATGTCAGACACTGTTCTCCAGTTGAAAATTCCCATGGAACAAATATATTGAGATTACTTGGATTAGTGAATTCCCCCATGAATCATGGCTCCCTTTAGGAGACATTTGAAGAAGTTTTAAGCTTTGCATGACTATTTCACATTAACCAGTCACACCACTAGGGCTCCTAAGTTTTGCGTAGCAGTTATTACAGTGTGGCAAAGCCAACCTGAGACCACCTGGGGACACAGTGTTGATGGCAGAAAGGCAAGTGTCAAGGCCCTGAGAGTCTTGTATTTTCCTTTGTTTCTTTTACATCCAAAAGAAAGTGTAACCACTTCAGGAGCCGAATTCAAATGTGTGCTGTCCTACTTCTCTCAGTCTAGAAAAATACACAGTAAGAGTTAATAGTGTGTTTTTTTAAATAAATTGGATAACTCTTGCAATTTCTAAGGTCAATAGTATTTCTAAGGGGACATGAGTACCATAATTGAAGTAGAAATGTTTTTACGATTTTTTCCTTAAGGTTTAGCAAGAGTCTAAAATGGAACTTCCATTTCGGGGGGATGGTTCTACATGGAAACTGATCTCCAGCAGTCTCTTTATTAGTTGATGAATAATTGGAAATGATTATGGTCAAATCAAACTTGTATTTAGAGAAATAGCAACTTTTCACTAATTTGAGAATTTAAGAAATATTAATTATCTACACAAGCTACCTAAAGTATTAGCAGTTTTTAAAAATTGAATTGTAGGTATATGAACATGTTTTTATTACCATGCATATTTCATGTCTGCCTCATTTTATAATAAAATTGGATATAAAATTAAGTAGTATGGTTTGTGGCATAATTTAATGTCAATTTCAAAACTCCCTTTTACAGTTAAGGAACTATTTGGGGTGGGGTTGCTATGACTTTTAATTGGCTTGAATAGTACGGTGGTTAAAAAATCCTTAAATGCTTATGTGACAGAGGTTAGGCTAATGGTCCGCCCTGGGATTCCTTTATAGGGATGCGTAACTAATTATGTAGTCAGGACCCTTAGGAAAACTTAAAGATATGTGCTGCCTGAAGGAAGGCACTGCTAGCAAGCCTGATTCTGCACTGTGTCTTTGGGGTGTGCTCAGCTTCTAAGGAAATATCCTTTCTCTAGAGTTCATGTTAGCCAAGACTGTCAGTGCGTTTGATGATTGTGTTACTGGCAAATGTTTTTATGCATTGCTGATCGAACAGTTTTAGTACTCTGTAAATATTAGACCATCAAAGGGAGAACATATGTTTAAGCACAAGTTGGTTCCTGAGTGTATTCGACTCCTTTCCCGCTTTGGTTGTGTTTCATCCTTTGCAAAGGCTGTAACTTTAAAATGATCCTGCTTTGGCTTTGTATTCCAGGCGCTTCACGAAGTGCTGTTTCCTTCTGCTTCTTTCATCCTACTCTGTCACACTGGAGGACAGACCTCCTTTCAGTAATTCCCCATGACATCCAAGGATTTCAATATGGTGTATGATAACATCAATACAGGTTTTGTTTGATTCAACAGAGAACAAGCCATTCGTATACAACTCCCAGGAACCTTTCCCAGCAGGACTAGGAGGAACATGGTGTGTGTAACAAGCAGACTTAAAATAACAGAATCACGAGACTTTCTTGTTCCTGGTTCTGTGTAGTCTTTCTGATGTGAGGCTGCCCCATGTCTCTTCTTCCTTTTCCTGGCATCTTTGGAAACATTGATTTGGAGGATAGGAAACAAATGTTTCTGTTAACAATATTAGAACATAGCACCATGCCAATCAAATCAAAGATTTACTTTTCTACATGGTAACTATCTTCCAAACAATTTTCTACCACACTAATTTTCATATAATCATTTTGTGAAATGCCACAAAATGAGAAGCAGTAATGAGAAGCAGTGTTATTCCATTGTGGACAGACTTGGTGGTAAAGCTGTGGTTCCTTTGAGAAGGGTCATGAGTCACTCAGGACCAGTTTAGAAAGTGGATAATTATCTAAAATGTCTATTTTTATAAATGTCCACAGTATTAGACTACGGGCTTGGCATGGATGAGGCTCTAGGTTTGATTCCAAGTAAAATGAATGAAGAGTTAGTGAATGAGTGAATATCTACCGTGAATTAGCCACGTGAGGTTTCCTTTACCTCTTGCACATTATCTTAGTGGATGGATTCCTGGGCTCTGTGCCAGCTTCTACTGCCTTTGTCCTCCTTCCTTCTGCTCCCCCGCCCCCACATTACGCAATCTTCCTTGAAAGTTATATTTATCTGTGCTTTTTTTTTTTTTTTAGTTTATGTGTATGTGTATGTGTATGTGTATGTGTGTTTCACCTGCGTGTAAGTATACCTGGGTTGTGCAATACCCATGGAGGTCAAAGAGGGTGTCATTTCCCCAGGAAATGTAGTTATGGACAGCTGTAAGCTACTGTGTGGGTTTTGGGAACCAAACCTTTGTCCTCTACAAGAGCAGCCAGTGCTCTTAACCGCTGCACCATCACTCCAGCTCCCACAATCTCACTTTTATTGAGTGAGTCTTGATCTCTATGTGTGAAATGACTAAAAGCTGATTATGTTTGTGATATTTCTATTTTTCTATGAAATATTTCCACCTCATATTTTTGTTCTTTGTTTCCAGAAACTCTATTCTTTTTGCAGTCATGTAGAATCAGCATTTTCCTCAGCAGGACTGATTCACTATTTAGGGAGAAAGGTCTCCAGGAACTGTAACAGTTAGTGGATGCTCTGTGGGCTGAAGAGCACTGAGTGGCAGAGTCTTGGGCTTTACATCTGCTCTAAAAAGCACAAGGGGGAAATTAAAAATAGGATTTGCTGAGCTGGAGAGATGGCTACTGTTGCAGAGGACCTGGGTTCGGTTCCCAGCATCCACTTGGCACCTTACAACTGTCCATAACTGTAGTTCCAGGAGATTGCCCTCTTCTGACCTGTGCAGCTACTGCATGCACATGATGCACTTACATATATGCAGGCAAAACACTCCTACACATAAAAGAAAAATAAATCAACAGATTATATATCATGCTCGTTGGGGCTTCTAGCGGAATGATGTCTTTGTGTTGCAGCCTCTGTGTTGTATGCCAGAATGTGCAGAGGTAACGAAGAAGAAGTACTACTGTAGCAGTGAGAGCAGCTGTGACAGCAGCAGCAGCAGCTCAGACATGGACGAGAATGAAAAAGAGCTGTGTCAAAATAAGAGAGGTGGTCACATCCCATATCACCTTAAGCACTCCAGTCACTGCAAATTAATTCAACAACCTAGTAAGTCAATTTCTCCTACATCGATACAAGAAGACTATAGAACTGAAACTCTTGAACTCAGTAAAAAGTCCTTGGGCCAATGAACCCTTGTCATGTGTGAGGCGACCTGTATTCTATCCTCTGTCTTTCTCTAGCCAGACCTGGGCACATCCCTCAACCCTTTTCAAGTCCTACAGATAGAAAGCAAAAGGATTGACTTGAGGATTCCTCCTTCTGCCTTTCGTAGTTCTTCCAAGTACTAAATTTGCCTGGGTTTCTCTTATGCAGCTCTCACTTGTCACCCACTTTGTTTGGTATCGTCACCTATGTTTTAGAATGTGCCTGTTTCTCTAGGCATTTGACTTGAATGGGTCTGAGCCATGCACTTGTGAGCAGTTGGAAGTTTTGTTCCCTCTAATTTTCATCATGGGTAAGCACTTGAGTCAGGACCTTTGGTGCATCACAACTATTTGGGGGAAGAAGCCAACCAGCTTTTCCATCTCCTCCGTTTTTTGTTCCCTTTATTTATCTGCACAGTGCCTTTTTTTTTCCTTCAAAGCTGAATGTCCATGATTGTGCCTTTGATTTCCTGCTCACCACCAAATGCTCGATATAATATTTCTGTCTCCTGGACTCACTTGGAAAAGTCCTTTGTGCTGCCTCCACCCAGGACTTTTTTAACCCCTATGTCACCGTCACTATTAGCAAGGTACTCTGTGTCACAGGGTTCCACCAAAGAAAAGCCCAGCAGTACAGCAAGCAGCTCCAAGCCTTTGTGGATATGATCTTCAGCAATGTTAAATATGTTTGATCAACCAATAATGTGTTTATTTTAAAACTGACCTTCCAAACTTATAGTAAAGTACTTATGGAATACCTAACTAATAAATGAAGAATTCAGAGAAATGGCCCCTTGTTTACTTTGCTTCCAAATAGTCTATAAGGATACATGTCCCAACTGCTCTTGTCATCAAGGGTTTGTACATTTGGAGGGGAAATAAGATACTGTGTTCCATTTTATTGATTTACTCAGAACGTAATAAGTGAGCATCAGAGTTGGTCAGGTATTTTACTCCTTTTTTTTTCTTAAGGATTCTTTAAGTGCTTAGTGTGTGTCTGGTTAAATATGGCTCTGTTTTTATTTTGGAAGCTGACATTTTCTAACACATTTTGTCAGTTTTTAAATCACTTACCTATTAGCTAGTATAACTATCACTTAATATCATTAACCGATAAAGGTATGGGGCAGGTAGGGAAAGCTTCCCAGTTTTTATAGCTCTGAGATTTTTAAAACTTGAGATCAGGCAATTGTATACTAAAATAGGATACAGAATTAAAACACATTTTCATGTATGAATTTTCATTTTAAACCTAGTCTAATTCAGTTATGTATCTCTTCACTTATTGTTCATTTTCTTACTAAGAATTATAATAACGAGTTCTCCTTGTTTTATATTCTGTTTTTAGCTTTACACTGGGTACCTCATAGCCACAAATCTTCCTCAAATTGTATCACAAAAATGATGTTGATGACCAAGGACAAAATGCAGATCACATGTAACACTTTCTTTTGTAGATAAGCAACTTGGGGACTTGTCATAACTTCAAAAAAAAGTAACGTAGGAGACTTTTTCTCACCTAATTTATAGATGGGATTACAACTGTATTTTGTAGCCTACTCAAGGATCTCCATTTCTCTTGTCTGAATTTTCAGCATAAATAGGTGAAAATGAGAATCTGAGATGATTCAAGGCAATGATATTTCCCTTTATCTCCATGAGCAGGCTTCACACATCTGGACCATCACCGCAGTCCAGCAAAAAAGTAGGCTGACAGAGTAGGCAACAACAAAGGGTTTGGAAAAAGATTTTTATTAGAAGCTTAACATTTGTCAACATTAATATGTGACTTTTGTATCTAATTAATAAAAAAAGATGGACTGAAGAGTGGCATGCTCCTATACAGTGTGCTTTCAAGAAGTAGTGTGATGTTAATAATTGGAACAGAGGTTTTGTTTTTGTTTTTTTTTGAACAGCATTTTCTGTATTCTGAATGAGTTTTTCTTTTTCTTTTTTTTTTTTTGTCTTTTTGAGACAGGGTCTCCCTGTAGCCCCAGCTGTCCTGGAACTCACTATGTAGACCAGGCTGGCCTCGAACTCATAAAGATCCACCTGCCTCTGCCTCCCAAGTGCTGGGACTAAAGGCGTGTGCCACCACTCCCAGCTTACTGTCCAAGTATCTAAACAAACAGTACTTGAAATGTTGCTTTCTTGAAATATCTTTGAGAAACATGTCCCTAAATCTACACTTTGTATCCATTGCCAAAGGATTACATTTTTTTTCAACAGCTGATGAAGAGAGATATTTGGGTGTGCAACCTGGCTTCATGTGAGTTTTATTAAATTATTTAATTAAAGAAGATTGATATATTCCATAGGCTGTGAACAAATACAGAATAGAGAATCTGTTAAACAAATGAGCCAAAGCAAAGATGCAGGTGCTGACGGTACTGGGTGGTGGCCAGTCAGGTGTCAAAACTTGCTAGAAACACTTCTGAATGTTCTCAGAGTTCATGGGGGAAAGTAAATGCTTTTCCTTGGGTATTCTGATAACAGTTCTGTAAATTCACACATTTTTTTTCTTCACTTAAAACCCTTTGCTGTTGAAGCTAGCTGTTTTCTCTTCATCTTTGTAAATGAGACTGATCATTTAGTGCTGCTCTTTTAACTAGCCAATTATATGCTTAAAATACATTAGAATGGTCATTAAACATTTCTTCTGTTTTATGCCCCCCAGAGGGGCCCAATTCTATAACTTATTTATTTATCAGAGCCTCTGTCTCAACTCCTTTCCCTCCCTCCTGTGAGGCTTGCTATAAAATATTTAGTCTCTAACCTATGTAGAGATTCTAATAGCAGGTTTAAACCCAACATTAGAAGGTGGTATTCTGGTGCCATAGAAACAGGGAGACCTTAAAATTAGGTGGTAAGGACTTCAGCCTGACCTTAGCCACCATTCTGCTGCGTGTCTTGGGAATTTTTTTCTCTGAGCTTCTAGGCAATAGAAATCCTTTCTCCAAGCTGGGGAGATGGCTCATGGGGGGAAATGTCGCTGTTCTAAGTTAGAATCCCTGGAACTCAGATAAAGCTGGGCACAGTACTTGTTTGTAATATCCACCAATGTTTGTCTGCATTCTTCTGGACCTCTAATGTTATGTTTTAAGAACATGCTAGTAAAGTACTGCCTGAGGTATTGTTCCCACCATGGCCATTTCTAATGAAGCAGTGGTGTTCTGCAGCAAGTTCTCTATTCAAACTGAAGAATGAATTCCAAACTTATCTTCTCTCTATGATTTCTAGGCTTTGACGTTTGTTGTCACTCATCACCACCTGGTCTCATTTTAGTTTATGTAGATCCAGTAGAGGGGGTGTCTACTAACACTACTGCTTTTCTATCATCAATAGATTCCATGAGGCGTTCAGTCAGCTGCCCTCGGTCCATCTCTGCTCATTTAGTCTCCAGTGGAGACATGCGTCCCTTTTCTTCTCATCAAGTGATACCGTTAGCACGACCAACTTCAGCGTCTCGGTCTCATTCCTTAAACCGTGCCTCCTCCTATACAAGACACCTACCTAGTGGTAATGATGCCAGCTCTACCAGCTCTCTGTTGGTAAGCTATCGATTTTGCCCTTTCAAGATTTCAGAAAGCACTGTACTCAGTATTTAGGTGGCAAAGATCTCAGTAGAGAGGATGGTGTATGGAAGCCCAGATGCCTTCTGTAATTCAACTCATGGCCTTCTGGAGCTTGGATTGTTCACCTACCCTAGGCTACAGTTTAGTATGGACTACTAAAGGCAAGTGTCACCGTATCACAGACCTCAAGGATGGACACAGAGAAGCATTATTTTATATTCTGTTTACCAGTGCAAAAGGGTAATATTGTGGATAATAATCGGAGTAAATGTGTCATTTTGCAATCTATTACTGTAGTTTGCAAAGGTGAGAAAATTTGTGTGGAAAGTTTCACTTAGTGAGACTCTGGATTATAATTTAAAAATTGGCAAATTTTACATATAACGATTAGGCACAAGGCTGTTTATAATGGTTTTGCATATTAAGTAATCATGTGTTAAATCAACATCCCTTCTTCAGCATAAATTTCCAGGCATTTTCAATTGGGAAAGTCAGTGAAGTTATTGCATTTTGCTGGAAATAGGCCAGAGATTTATTTAAGGTCTTAGCTTCTTTAATGCAGATGTTTCTAATGAGAAAAAAGGAAAGATAAATGAATGCATTCATTTCATCACAATGACTGATTTTATTTTTTTAATAAAGAATTTGTTGCAAATGAAACAGATTAGGGAGTCCTTGTAAAATACTCATTTTTCAGCTTAGTATCTTGAGTAAAATAAAATACAACCATGAAGTGTTAACAATATCATTGGAAATGATACCATTAGCACTAGTATTAAGATATCATTAGCATTACTGATAACTTAATGCTAATAATTTATAAATGTATTTTTTCCTTTAAAAAATTAAAAAGACATCATTTTTACCTAGAAATATCTTTCAGCTTATACTGGCACCATGAACTAAGACCCCCTTCAAATATCTGTATTCTTTCAAATTTAAGAGCGAGTCTTTGCAGCAACTGAAAACCAAAGAACAGGAAGATGACCTGACAAGTCAGACCTTGTGTATTCTCAAGGACATGAGGATCCGCTTTCCAGGAAAATCAGATGCAGAATCAGAACTTCTAATAGAGGATGTGAGTATCTGATGACTGTAAAAATCCAGGAACATTTATTTATTATTCTTAAAGTATTAAAGTATATTTCCTGGGGCTGGGGTTTGTAAAATGCTTGCTGTGCAAGATGAGAATTTGAATTGGATCTTTGGCACCTATACACAAGGTTGGACATGGTAGCATGCACCTGTAAACCCAGCAGTAGAAAGGCAGCGATAAGGACCTATTTGGTGAGTCCCAGGTCCCAATGAGAGACCGTATCTCAAACACAAGGTGGTCAGCTCTGAGGAAGGACATCCAAGGAGATTGATCTCTAGTCTCCATAAGCATGCACACATGTGCACACACACAGGATATATGTATGCCACACACATATGGACACACACACATGCCACCCCCCTACACAGAAAATGTATTTCCTGGTCACATTATACTCGGTAGCATGGGGAACTTAATGTTCTTTTCAGATTCCACGAAGTTTATAAAGTAGAAGAATTCATTTTAATTGTTAGGATTTGTGCACACTGCGGTCTCATTTATAATTAGAAATGGAACATGTGTTTTAGTATACAGTGTAATTGTATAATAAGGCTTCTTTATCAAGGGAGAATAATTAGTGTCAAATACCTTGTTTTTCATAATTAAAAAAATAGCAAGCTAGACTTTCTTTTCCTGTGAAAACTTGCTAAGTTTAAAAACTTAAAGGTGGAAAGAGATGGGATGAAAACAGGTCAGCCCAGCAGAAAATGCCAAGGAGACTTGAAAGCAACACCTGGAATGTCACCTTTTTGGGTCAGATTTTGAAATAGTTGAATTTTCTTTTTACATACACATTTGCACCACCCAGTGGAACATTTGAAAATGGCAAGGGTGCTAGACTCAGCAGTTGAGACTTGCTCCTAATTTGGAAAGAAGTTCAAGGTTACTAAGATGTTTTTGGTGGAAGGATTTTTTTGCTCAAGGTTCCCCTTCAGTTAGCATCCTTTTTAAGTGGGCTTTCTTCATCCGTAGTAGAACATTGTTCTGCAGGCCTTGTGGATTTTTTTTTCCAGAGGAGCAGGCACCATCTAGTGGTCATGTGAAAAATAAAAACCACAGTGTGCACTTGGCCTTTATACTGTTGTAACATTTGTCTAAAGCAAATGTACAGAAACAATAACAAAAAGGCTTTCTTCATACAAAAAGTACGTAATGACAAATTGTATATTTGTCATTACATTAATGAAATACATATATAGCAAAAGCCTCCAAATATTTTGCGAATTGTTGTATCTTTTTAAAAAAGTAGAAGTATCTTGTAAGCTACTACTTGTTACATCAAAAGAAAAATTAAGGGTTGGAGAGATGACTCAGCAGTTAAGAGCACTGCTGCTCTTGCAGAAGACCTGGGTTCAAATCCCAGCTCCCACATGGTGGCTAACCACTGCCTGTAACTCCAGTTATGGAGGCTCTGACCCCCTCTTTCAGTCCTCCACAGGCATTGCACATAGGTGCACTTATATATATGCAGGCATAACACACACATGAAATAAAAAAGAAAATTTAAATTGATCATAAAGCATTGTGCTCAGTATGCTTTTTAAACTTTAAAAAATTACATTTACGTACTTGTGTGTGTGTGCAGTGTACCATGGCCTATGTGTGGATGTAGGAGAACAACTTGAGGAAGAGTTGATTCTCTGCTTTCATCATGTGTGTTCTAGGAATCAAACTCAAGTTTTCATGCTTGGCTGCAGTCCCCTTCACCTGCTGAACCATCTCACCAGCCCTGCATGTGTTTTTACTTATTTTATTTGCTAGTGTTATTTTCTAAGTAAAGACCATTATGTCTTGATTTTGTGGTTTGCTGTTTTTGAATGAGGTAGAACGTGAGAAAGTAGCAGTAATATTTGTGGCTAATGTCACTGGTGTATGAAGACCATTGTTAGGGTTATGTAAGTAATTCAGTGTAATTAATAATTTGTGTCAGGCATTTGCTTCTTTGCTCTGTTCACTGTGTCTCATATTTGGATGATTGCTACAGTATACATTACTGGAATATATATTGAGAAATTCTGTAGAGTTACAGGTAATACAAAGAAAGGGATAATAAAAATATAAGCTGCCTTTGGATGTGTAATTCAGTATTCTATTACTATGTGGCTAATACAACCCTGGGAATAAAGATGGAAAATCTATGAGTTGGAGTTTTCCCTAAAATGTGTGTTCCTAAAGACTTCTGACTTCCATTCGTGGGTGGTTATATGCTCAGTGAAGAGGGAGAGGCTTTGAATTCAGACAGCCTCTCTGGCTTACATTAGAAATCACTGCACATGTCTTTTTCTGAATGGAGAAAGTTTTGTTTACAAGTAGTATTACAGTGCTTTAGTTTCACAAATTCATAAAATTCATTTATTTACTTGTATTGATTGCTTTGGGGAGCATTCTAGATTAAACTTGTTCGCACCCCCTCCCTCAACAGATCATGGATAACTGGAAGCATTATAAAACAAAAGTGGCTTCATACTGGCTCATAAAATTGGACTCTGCCAAACAGCGGAAAGTGAGTAACAGTCAAAAATCTCTTTGACCTTTGGATCCGTATTAAGCTTAGACCATCCAGTTAATTTCATAGTAAGTTTATATATTCACATTGTACTGCTCATGTCTTTAACAAATACTATGGACCTATTGTGTGTGAGACAGAGTTTTAGATTGTGCGGATAAAAAAGTGAATGTGGGGGGGTGGGTGGAGATCCGTGCTTTCATAGAGCCCTCATACATAGTTAGGATGTTTTATAACAAACGTGGGTCACAAGACAAGACTAATTCCTATAAAGTAAAACAGGCTAAAAAAGAGAAGGTAGCATCTGAGCAGAAACTTGGCTGTGCAGATAGTGGTGGGTCCATGTCTCAGCAGAGGGAAGAGCAGAAACGAAGATCATGGGTACGAGTTTGTTTGATGTGGATACAGAGCGTAGAAGGCACCATTGGACTTATTCATTCATTTACAAGATAATTAGTTTTTGTTGGAAAACAGTAAGCAATGCAGTAATGGTCAAGAGATGAGATTAGACAGCAAGGCAGGGCTCAGATGATGGGGCTCAGATGATAACTTAATATGCTATGTGAAGTTGGGGTTCTATTTTAATGTATAGGAAGCCACTGGAAAATTCCAAGAAGAGTTTCATAGTCCAATTTATGATTTTTAAAGGACTGATAACTACTTGAGAGGAGGAAAATTGAGGGAGAGGGCATACAGCACACTAGAAATAGAAATTGGTTAGTAGGCCTCTAGGGTAACGGAGGCAAGCCCTGGTGGGTGCTTAGCTAGGGTAGTAATGGCACGGGTGAAGTCTGCAGGCAAAAAGGGTCTTGTTGTGGTGTTTTGTTGTGATTTGGTCTTGGTCCTGCTTTATTGATGTACTGATTATCCAGGTGAAGATATTTTGTTGGTATATATATATATTTCATTATTATTATTTTTTTTTAAATCAGAGCTGAGGTTGGATATGGAGATAAGAAATTTAAGACTCTCTTAGGTATTTAAAGTCATGGGGCTAGATGAGATTACCTAGAGAGTTTGTTAGGGAAGACAGGAGTTTCAAGGACTGAGTCCCAGGGGTCTTCCTGCATGTAGGAATCAGAGAGATGGGATTCTTTGAAGGAGACAGAGAAGGAGCAGTCAGTGTAGTGTGAAAAAAGAGCTGGGTGTCACTGAAGCCAAGTAAAGGTGTTATTTTAAGGACAGCATAGTAGGGTGTTGAGCATTAAGCTGCCTGTTGTTGGGGTAAACATGGAGGTTAGTGTAACTACAGCCCAGTTTAAGGAGTGGTAGGGATTCAAACTTGAATGGGGGATATACAGTGAGTGAGAAGTGGAGAGGAAGGGGCCACAGCTACTGCTCCCTCTTTTCAAAGACTTTGGGAGGAGGGGAGGGAGCAGGCAAAAGAAAACATAGTGGTGGTGGGGAGAGAGTTGTGGGGTGATGAGTAGAGCCCCCCACCAGTTTTAAAGATGAGGATACTTTCATTTGTGTATTGATGAGAATGGTCTAGAAGGATTGGCACAGGAGGGAGGAGGGATACAAAGTTCTTAAGCAAACTCGGAAGTTTCGTGTAGCCAAGAGCAGTTGTGCCAATCAGAGGGAAGGTGAGGGGCCCCCTAGTATGGTGGGGAATGTGAAGAGATTGAGGACACGGCATCAAACAGCTGTCATGGAGACTGGGAGCAGGGAGTGGACAGCACCTTAAGGGGTCTCTCTAACTCACTGGATTATTTTTCAGGAGATAATGCTATTTTCATAGCTTTAGGGAAGTTATTGTCTTACTTCAATAATATAAACGAACATTTGTCCATTCTACCCTTTGTTAATAAGGTGAGATTTGATATTGGTCAGGCTATGAGTTTTAAGCTACATGTTTTATATGAATAAACAGATCATAGTTGTTGTTCATTAGCTCATTCAACGAATGTTTTGCTTGTGTCCTGCCGTGGTCACATACGCTGCCTCCATTGAGGAGGATGTATCAGAGACAGCAGCAGAGGCAGGCTGCTAAACTCACTGGGAACCTCTGATGCATGTTAGTTTAGCCAGACTCTGGCCTTGATTAATGAAGACAAGGACCTTTTTAATTGAATTTTTGTGTATTTCATATATAAGATCTTAATCATGTTTATACCCCTTTTCCAATAGGCACCCTCTCATAGCCCCCCTCCCCACTGGAGTCATGCCTTGTGTCATGTATGTTAAGGTCTACTGAGTCAAGTTAGTGCCCCTTAGTTCATTCACTAGAGTCTAGTCTCAGCCTATCTAGAATCACTACCTTAAAGAAAGATCAGCTCTTCTTTACCCAGTAGTAACCAGTTGCCCAGTATGGCTAAGATTGGGGCCTGCTGCTTATTTCCCCAGTTCTGTGATGGGTTTGTCTGCTTGAGTTTGCACGGGTCTTGTGTGTGCTGACGCCATTGCTGTAAGTTCATGAGTAAAGTCTGAGGAGCATGTACGACTGTTTCTGTATGGTCATGTGCCTCCTCCCCTGCCTCTTAGAATCTTTCTGACCCCTCTTCCGCAAAGGTCCCTTAACCCTGGGTTCACTGTCCTCTGCTGCATGAGGGAGCTTCGTTGATGAGAGTTGAGAGATGCATTAGTGTTCTCTCTACCCCTTGTTCCAGTATGTTCCGTGAGTCTTAGGTGTAGAGGTTCCACTGTGGATGTGTTACGTAGGGTTGGGCATTTCACAGATGCTTAATCTCTGTATGCGACCAGTTGTGAAACTCCGTAATAATCTTCCTCTGTTGCAAAAGAAGGGATTTTTATTGGAAAAGATTCAACTTTCTTTGAGTCCAAGTAAATTTTGTAATCAGTGAGAGAAGAGTGCAGGTAAATGGCTAATGCAAACAAAGCAGTCTAGCAATAGATGAAAAATTTTGTAAGATAGAAATCCTGACAGATATGGCATTTTAGATTATTGGGAAATAAATGGATTTTTTTAGTAAACCCTGTTGAAACAATTGGTTACTTTAAAGAAAATCAAGTTAGAGCTTATCGTTTATATACAAAAATAAATTCCATTTAGAACACAATTCATTGTATAAAAAGGAAAATGTTAAAGACAAATGAAAATGCAGAAGGATTTGTTTATAATCATGAGGGAGGGAATTGGCTTCTTGAAGAAGATCTGACCTAGACCACTCAAAGGGAAAACTTGACAGATTTGGATGTATGAAAACTTGTAGTCAGATATGATGGTACTTGCTTAAAATTCTAGAATTCAAGATCCGAGGCACGAGGATTACTGGGAGTTTGAGGTTAACCTGGGCTGCATAGTGAGTTCCAGTCCAGCCTGGGCTATACTGTGAGATCATATCTCAAAATAAAACAAAACAAAACAAAACAACAAAATAAAAATTTATGAATGGCAAAGCCATCTTAAACTAAATCTTAAAAGGCAGAAATGACAAGAGGGAATTGAGCAGGTGGGGGACTGGTTTGGGGACAATAGATATTTCACATAAAGTGAAAAGTAACATCAGCAAACTAATAGTCCTTGCAATCAATTGATCAGCAAAGGACAAATTAGCCCATAAACACCAATAAGTAACATTGCAAAGCACATAAAAAGGTCATGAAAAGATGATTTATGGGTCTTCAAATAGCCAATTAACATGTAAATAGATCCTTGGTCTCACTAATGATGATGAAGAAGCAAGTGAAAACTATCATATTGGAAAATATTAATAAGACAGATAATAGCCACCAATGGGAATAGTGTGGCCGAGAGGACCTTTGCTGTGCTATCTGAGGGAGAGCACATTGGTCTAACTCTAGAAAGGTCATTTGCCTTATCTATTAAATGATGCATGCCCGTTGTCCTATGACTCAGCAAAACCACTTCTTGCCTCCTGTCCTGCAAATTCTTAGCTTGAATGTTGTCAAAGATCTTCATAGGTGAACATTCTTTGCAGGGATATTCCTGAAAGTCACATACTGTAACAGCCTGAATGACTCTCAGTAAGTTTATGGTTAAAAAAATCCAGTACATCTGTACAATTCAACTGCATTCAGTTGAAGACTATTCCAGAAACACAGATCTGAACGGAACGTAGAGCACAAGTCTGTGACTTGTGACCTGGAAACAAACTAGGAATGGAAGGAACTTTTCAGATTTGGGCAGCCTTCATTTTTATCCTCAGTTACTCACCAAGTTTTGAATGATGGATTCTGATGCTTTACAGCCAGCTTGATTTTCTGAGCTCAGTTCCCCAACGCTTTCTGCAAGCACAGAAGGTTTCTGTACCTGTGTTGTCCGGTACAGTAGTCATCAGTCACGAGAGACTCTTGAACACTTGGAATGTGATTGTGAAACTGAATTTGTCACTTACTTTTAATTCCTTGAAGTGCTAGGGGTCAGTTGTGTTTAGGGTTTCTGCATTTGACAGTATTGCTTTAACAGATCATATACAAACTTACAAAATATTCTTAGATCCAAACTTTGCTATCTTTCTATTTATGAACCTAGAGTGATTGTAAGAGGGTCCAGTTAAGCTTCCTGCTTGATACCACCTGGAAAAGATACCACTATCTTAAAGAAACAGGCTATATATCCCTAGGTATTATTCCATTTTAATATACCTGTGTACTACTAAAAAAAATCTATCATCTATCTATCCTTTTATTATCTATTTATCATCTATCTGTCTATTTATCTATCTATCATCTATCTATCTATCTATCCATCTATCTATCTATCTATCATCTATCTACTATCTACCTATCATCTATCTATC